CTTCGTACATCTAGTTAAATGAACTGGATATGTATCTACACGCACCAATTCTTATATGAGGTTTCAATATAATTTTTAAAAGGCAGAAAAATAAATATAATATGAATGTAATGTTTGACTGAAATTTAAGCATTGAATTGAAAAAGGACCAATTTTGAGCGAATCATGTCTTCCTATTTTATTTTAACAACTCTTCATTCTTCAGTACGACTATAGAACCAACCCAACCTTTACATCAGACCAAATGCCAAAACTTCGTAAAATACATTTCTTCTGTAAGTCATTTTACAAAAGAGTACATACAACCTCCTAGCTATTGCAACAAAAACATTTTTTGGCTAATATTCAAAGATTCCATAATAACTTATACCCAAAGCTCCCTTTCTAAGGAGGAAATTCTTTAAAATCATATGTCAGTTTTGAATATTTTTAATATTCCCAGCAACCCAAATAAATTTGAATTACCATATTTATATTGGATTCCGAAACTTCTTAAAATCCTTACAAACAAAGATACATAACGAGTTTACAGTAAATGTTCTAGCAAGCCTCTTCCTTTACTCCTCACTAAAATATTAACAGCAGTGAAGGCGAAACTTCAGGAGTACTGTGCGAACAATATATTCGAGAAGTGGTGTAAATCAGATTTAGATACTTAAAAATTCTAAGGAACTTCTAAAACAATTGAAATCACAAAACCAAAATCAATAACATAAAAACTTCTAATGCAACTTTTCAACTCTGTATACACCATTCCCCAACGATAAATTGAAGTCCAGCCTTTTTGACAGCATTGACAGCTGATTTTTTTTTCAATAAAAATGGAACTCGTAAATTTACTTACCGTGTCATTGGCCATTTGCAAAATTATTTTGTTAAAAAACACTCTGATTGTACACACAAGTACTCTGAAGTTGATATTAAAAAGATGCTTGAGTTTCTGATTGACGATATCTATGTGGTTTTCGGAGACCATGTCTTCCAACAATCTGTTGGAATTCCCATGGGTACCAATTGCGTCCCCTTATTAGCATACCTATTTCTGTATTTATATGAAGCAAATTTTATTCAAAATCTTATACATGAGAAAAAGAAATCTCTTGTTGTGGCTTTCAACTCAACATTTAGATATATCGACGACGTATTATCAATTAACAATAGTAATTTCCATTCATATGTTGACATGATACATCCCAGCTAGCCTAAATAGATACCACAGAGTCTGACTCATCTGTTTCATATTTGGATATTTTACTAGAAAAAGACGTTAATGGTAATCTAACAACAAAGTTTTATGATAAACGTGATGACTTTAACTTTTCAATCGTCAGCTTCCCTTACTTATGCAGCGATATACCCTTATGGGATGTATATCGCTCAGTTGATTCGATACGAAAGAGCATGCTCTACGTATGTACAATTTCTAAAACGAGGTAAGTTATCGACAAACAAGTTGATGAAACAAGAATATCAACAGTCTCCTTTAAAGTCATCGTTTCGTAAATTCTATGGTCGATACAATGACCTTGTCAGCAAATACAATCTAACATTAAGTCATATCCTGACTGACGTTTTTCATACTAATTGTTAGACCATTATTTACACTCTGAATTGTCGACGGATTTTTCCGTTATTTCCTGATCATGACAAGGAGCACACGGTGGATGTGACTGGTCGGCAGGGGATGTTTCTTCCTCCGTGGCACCTGATCCCACCTCTGATGATTTTTGAAGTCCGTGTTTGGTCTGCTCCCGATTTGTATTTTGGGCTTGGGTACTGTTCATTATCTCCATGTTTCTTTAAAAAAAAATCCTGTCTAATTTGTGAAATAATTTTTATATCCATCTATAAAACATTGAAAATCCTCAGTATATATCTATTCCACATGTTTGGCTATTATAAATTTGCGCAATTGCTCACTTAAAGTACTCGTTTTATATCATTAAAAAAAACCCAGTAAGATATGTACGAAGTGACCAATCCTACAAGTCGACTTTTTCAATTACGTTTTCAATATGTTTATGTTTTCAAGTTTTTTATTATGATCAATATGTATCAAATTATGATATAAAATATGATTTTATCTTGAATTTGTTTTAAATCCCTCATAATAGTAAATGTGTGTGAATAGTTGATAAGATCCAATGGTACTACAAATCCTTACAATTATTAACAATAAAAATATGATAAAAGTACTCTCTTCCATTGATACATAGAAAATGTAAGAAATCAGTTGGTGAATTATAATGTTCAACATGTCACAACCTTTGCTTACAATAAAGAGAGCGAATGTAAGAAGAAGCATTTTTTCTCTTTAAAATCTATCATTAACTATAAAGTCATATGCTGACTGACGTTTTTCATACTAATTATTAGGCCAATATTTACACACTGAATTGTCGACGGATTTTTCCATTATTTCTCGATCATGACAAGGAGCACACGACGGGTGTGACCGGTCGGCAGGGGATGCTCACTCCTCCATGGCACCTGATCCCACCTCTGATGTTTTTGGAGGTCTGTGTTTGCCCTGCTCCCGATTTGTATTGTTTTAATGGACTTTGAGCTTGAATACTTATTTCATTTTAAACCATGAGAGCATGTTTGTCTATGAAATCTCCTTTTGACTCAGTATGATAGAGCTGATCCTTAATTCGCCGGTTCAATTCCGCTGCGGGACGTGGAGACCGGTCATTCGGATGAGACCGTGTAAACCGAGGCGCAGTAGATAGTGACACGAAAATATCCCTCACTGCTCAATGGCCCTAACTGCCGTGAATAGGTATAAATTTGCAACTCTCCACCGGCAAGTGGTGGATCTCCATATGAGTGAAAAATTCTCGAGAGGGACGTTACATGTAAACAACAAACAAACAAACTAAATAACTGCAAATATACAACTCCTGTTAAACAGGGAACAATTGTAGACAAACATGCACTGACTAAGTATGTATCAAGTCCGTAAAAAGAGAGCGTCCTCATTATCGAGATTCAAGAAATCGTAATGACTCCACCTTTGATAACAAATTCATACTTCGTAAATATATAGCTTTATTTTATTTAATGTAATTATATAAAGTTGCAGATTTGATATTGATCATTCCTGCAATCAAAAGAAAAATGGTTGTTATGAAAGTTTATATTTTGTCATCCTTTTTTAGATTTTGAACAGAATAAATATTGTTTCGCGCAATGTTTTTCGAAAGGAATGAAATCTTTTTTTACTAAAACAGGTGAACGAATAATACAGTTGAATTCAGTCGCCAATTTATCGCTCATGTTATTTCAATATTCTGATTTGTGGAAATTTTCACTTAAAGGTTATTAAAGAATTCATTTATTAATGAAGGAATGTGAAAGGCAGAGATTTTTTTTACCGGGTGGTAAATCTCAGGTGAGGGTGGGACTTAATTTTACAGGTGCGATCGATTGCCTCGAGGGCTAGCTGTCTACCTGCGGTCGTGTTTTCTGCTAATCCCTATACACAGGAAGTGACTTGGTATACAGTGAACACTCATGCAGTAGTTGAACTATATAACTTTGAATTAAAGTGGCTGAACAGGTTTCAAAGGAATATACACGTATATGATTTGGTGTATTGAATTCTGATATTCAGAAACGGTATTGATAAGTTCTATGATAAGATATTATGCTTTAACTGTCTCTTTGTTTAAATTCGATTGTAATTTGTGGTATGTCTCTTTTATTAGATTGAAATGATCAAAGATGAACTTTGAGTCATTAAAGATACCTACATGTATATAAGAAAATGCTAGTATTCAGTCAATACCTTACCGAACAAGGTAAAACCTTTCATATGTAATGGATATATGCCTCATACAGTTCTGTATGAAAAAATATCAGACAGTTTGAGACCTGTTCAAAATATCTATGACCGATCAAACGATGCAAAGCAACAAGAATTCTGAAAAAAGTAGAATTGACAATTTTTAGCATAATTCATAAACTTTTGAAATATTTTTAACCAGATATCTGATACATAGAGCAAAAAAAAAAATTATTATATTCTGTTATATCATACATTGAATTTTTAAAAATAAGAATAAAAGTACTCATAACTGTTATTTGCAAAGAGTGCCACTCTGATCTTGTTAAAGGATACATCCAATATTCACGAACAATAAACATAAGAAAACCTGCAAGTTCTTATTCATAAATATAAAAAAAAAAATTCCTGTCCCTCTGAAAAATACTTTGTCCCCAATAAATATGAAATACATGTATATTCATTTTACAATTTATTCTGTGCTTTAATTTTCACTTTTTTCTCGCATCAATTAAATTAAATTACTACATGGATACTTTAAACTATTTATATCACTGACTCCTTAGACCTAATTATGTTTGAGTTACTTTGTACTTTTAATTTCAGGTTATGTACATATATTCAATTCACCATTTAAAACGCATGATCGGGTATTCAAAACATAGACAATATCCTGTTCATAGTCAATTTTGATTGGTTAAATGACAACGCCTACTTTCATACCTATCACTATAAAAGACGATAAAACAGAGAAGTGCAATCATAAGTGCATCGGCTGAAGAAAGAAGAAAATGAAGGTATTTTTTTTTTCAAAATGCTTTTGAATATTAAGATATTTTTAAACAAGCATTTTTAAGGGTAAGGTTAAAAATCGGACTTAAGCTGTACTGAAGTTAAGTTTTGATATAGATGTAAATTGATGTTGCAAATCAAAGTATTGTGTTCAAAATATGTTATTAATTTTCAATTATACATTCCATTCATTCACTTCAAAAATCCCAGTAAGAAATAGTCTTCACTTGCTCATTGTTGCTATTAATAAATAAATAATAGTAATAAATTCTGTGCATTCCATTCTGAAAAGTTGTTTTCACTGGAAAAAAGTATAGTCATAGGTATTACGATAATTCTATGTAAAAGTTCTCATGAAATGCCTTATATATATGTATCGAATATGTACATATATTTTCCTTCTTTTTTTTCTTTTTTACAGATTTTGATAGTTGCTGTCCTTGTGGTGTGTTTTGTTTATTGCAATGGCCAAGACACTAAATGCCCTTTGGAAGATCCAAAAGAGCGGAGCATTGATGGTGGAACAGACGAACAGACAAAAGATATTATGTAAGTTATTCTAATAACCGAGGTATTTCTTGTGTTCTCAAATACATGTAGCTCAGCTAAAACAAATGGAAAGTTATGCCCTTTCCCATGATTGTTTACACAGAAACATTAGCCATATAGAAAGTTTGAGATATATTATTAAGATGTTAAAAAACAAGTCTACAAGCAACATATCAATGAAACCTTTCTGGAAGCAAAAGTTGAGTGCCCGGTAAATAACTCAAAAAAGGTCTCTCTGTTTTATTACATTTTGTAGGTATATGTTATCACAATGTTATTTTAAAATAAAAACAATGTTACGCCTGTAGCAAAATAGGTATATATGAATTTTACCCCCCATCCCCATATACAATTACATGTAGTAACATTTTGCAATAGCAAGATTATGTACGTAGGGAAAGTTAGACACAGAAAGCCATAATCAATTTCAATGAAAATTTGTTATTTATAAAACTCTTTCTATATCTATACAGGTTTGCATAATACTCTTTTCAAACATTGATGCTCTTAAAGAGCTATTTATGAACATTCATGAAAAAGTAGTACATGTCCTTAAATGTATTATTTCATTCTGTGTGTAATTAGTAAATTTTTGTATTCAACGTACTTTTTCTTTTTTACAAACATGACCTTGTGTTTTTCTTACGGAAACGCCTTCCTTGTTATCAGACTCGTTATAAATTACTCTGACTAATTTTTTTCTAACTATTAATTTTAAGAATCTACATTTTTAAGCTAGAAGTTGAGAAAGGATTGATATGGAAAAATCCGAATCTTTGAATCTTTATGAAACACATTAAGTCTGTCTGGTAATTCTGGTGAAACAATTCACACTACAGAACGAATTAACTATCGCTTCTAATAACCAACGAAGAAGTAAATCATACAATATTATATTCTCTCAAAAAAGCATTAATATAAAAAGTTATTGAAATGAAATCGAAGAATTATTTTTTTTTTAAGAAGAAGAAACATTTAAGATGAAAGAAATATTAAGACAAATTTCCCAAGAAATGATACTTTTAATGCTTTTAGTGCCTAAAAAATAACAAATGTTATTGAAGAGTAATGTGGTGTCAGGTAATAGGAATAAAACACGGTAATAAATTTATAATTATGCTTTAAATAAAAATGATGATACGTTTGAATTATGCTATACAAAGTAGTTTAATGAGAATTTCAAAGATACACAGTATATAAAGCAAGGGTAAGTATAATCGTATTACAAGTAAACTGCACATCGTGACCTTGTGTATAATCGTGAAACCTTATGATTTTCTTCTGATTTCTAATTAATTTAATGAAATTAGTTTATATATATATATATATATATATATATATATATATATATATATATATATATATATATATATATATATATATATATATATATATATATATATATATATATAATCTAGGACGAAGATTGATGCTGCCTTGAAAGAAGACACTGAGGTCCAAAATTCAGTGAATGAAATATCCGCGGAGAGAGAAGAGCCAATCGAAAAGTAAGTCGATATTTTATCTACTATAAATTGACCTTAAATTTACGTATATTTATCAACTTTTGTGACATCTCAGCTTGAAGTTAATCAATAAAAATTAAATAGTGCCTACATTAATGATTTAAATATATCTATTCTAAAGCAAACACATGACCCTTGACACTTGCCCAAGGAAACTAGGCTTCATCACAACCGTTATTGTTAACCTCCAAACGTGCTATGTTGTGTATCCGAGACGACAAAGGGTGACCTATGCAATATGTGGAGGAAGGTTTGATTTTATTTCAACAGGATCATACAACATTTAGAATGTTCCATATATTTACAACTTTTATTTGATTCTTCTCGTTTTATACTATAATGAAGACCTTCATAATTGAAGAGCTCAATATTAAAAAGTAAATACAATGTGATGTCATCGGGTTAATGTTTTCTATATATATATAACATTAACATAACTTAAGTTTTCATTTGCATGTTTGTAGTGATTGCTACGGAAGCAAATTATACAGGAGTAGATGCGTCCGAAATGGATGGACCAAACTGAGGTTTTGGGTGTGGTGTCCAAGATATGGCTTCCGACTGATTTACAGGTGGTACCCACAGTGTTGTTCCTGCTACAGATGGCGAAGTTGCCTCACAACAGCAAAGAAATAATGACAACAGAACTGCTTTTCTATACATATTATACGTTCCTGTTTTTAACGACTGTTAACATGTATTTTGATTAGATAATTGTTTACTATTATTTCTTTTCTTTAATCTGGCAAACTTATTTCATTCGAATAAATCTTTCTCTTTACCTAATGTTCTTTGTTTTTTATGCCTGTCAAGGTTCGTCCAGTTGCAGCAATTTATCCATTTCCCTGTTCAAGTATCAGTGCATGCATTTTGATTCATACTTCCAGTCGTTGGTTATAGAGAGGTTTACGAATTAAAGCATTTGAATATTTCGTTGCATGGGAATATACGTTAATGGATCAGATTGCTGCTTTTGTAAACTTATATTCATAAGGCATGATTATTTTTTCCAGTTTCCCTTGCACTATAATTCATGTGAACTGAACGGATATAATGGATTATTAAAGACGATGAAGACAAGCATAACTTCTTAATTGTTTAATTTAGTTTGAAAATATAAAAACAAAAAAATGTATATTTTAGTCACAGTTTAAAAAAAAGACTGGAAAATGTCAGATAATTATATTCCAAGGGTATTCATGGTTACAATGTATTTAGAGAAGTATTCCTCCGATATCATAAGGGGCTTCATCACATTCAAATTTCAATCTGTATGTCTTTATTTTCCCCCTTTCGGAGAAATTATCATAATGCATATATACAGGAAATTAAATCAATAGAAACAAATACCAAGGTAAATATAACATATTATTATATACAAGAAGAAAAAAGGAAAAGAAGAAAATGTGCAAACACACTTTTAGTAAAGGCTTCCAATGTTTTTGGGCTGCAGCTTTGCCTTAATAGTCATTAGCTCCACAAACACATTCTAATTTTAAATTAAATACCGGTACATTCCTCAATGTCACTTTTGACCAATATTGATGCTGTTTCCAACACTCCTAGTAATTTAACGTAAAATATGTATGACAAATCATCACTTAGCTGAGAAAGCTCTTTATACAGATGAATGATGAACATCGAAATATCTGAATCATTATATTATCAAAAAATAAAAAAAGCGAATTCCCTAGATGGCCAGTGGATGGATACCCAAAACAAAATGGATCACTGTACACAATTTGATTTGATACACTGTATACCGAAAAGCATCGTCTCGATTAAGCCAAGGTCCGGAGTCCACATATAGCTCTCTCCGAGAGAGGATCGTACATTTTGGCCGTGGTTTGCGACGATCGATGACCGGAAAGGTACTGTAACAGATTAGTTTCAAGGACAAGGGCGGAATAGTCCAAAGTTTGGTGATAAATTTAATATATGGAACATCATCGAACGATGACGAACATTATTAAAGTTCAATAAAGATTCAACATAGCTGAAAATCTAAATATTTCCGCACGTCTGATCAATGGCAACGAAGACACAACCAATTTTGTTTGATATTTGTTTGCATGAAAAAGGTGAAGATAACGAACAGTGATCGATCTCAAAAAAATCTACAAACAATACAAATCTGTGAACAGGGCATAAAACACGGACCCCCTGAGATTCCAGATGTGGGATCAGGGGCCTATGATGAGTAAGCATCCCCTGTTGACCGGTCACACCTGCTGTGAGCCCTAAGACCGTAGTCAAATTAATTTAGTATAAAAATAAACAATGATAAATAAAGGCCTAACAATTGATGTGAAAAAAAAAAAAACGTCAGCCCAAACCAACCCAGTGCTAAGTTATATTTGTTAACAACGTCATTACACGGTTTAAAAATTAATCGTACTCAGAGCATGCTCTTGAGTATCGAATAATTAAGCTGGGAGACGTAAACAACAAATGCAGGTAATAGCGGAATGTTACTAAATAAATGAGGAAAGTTGACGCGATGGAAAAGCTGAAGTCATCTCGTTTATCACAGAATTTTGATGTTAGTTAGCCCTTATCGTCTTTAGTCAGTAAAACATTCATCTATAAAACAGATGTGGCAGTCTTCTTAAAATGCAGTTGAATCGAATACTAAGTACACGGGTTAATTAAAAAAAATGAATTGAAAGCTCTTCTAAAAAGAAGGTACAAAGACTCTACAACGTAAACAAAGAATGTGGTGTTGTAGCGTTAGTTGTATACATTCGACTGTAAAGTTGGTTCTATTGTTATGTTTCTTAACTTTCTGCATCCAGTTCTGGTTGAGCAAAAAAGAACATTTAACAAGCGGCGACGAAGTTGCTGTTTTAGTTAAAAAATATGCAGGTAAAAGTGATTCAATGACATCACCTTAGCATCATGTGACGGGTACATGACGAGCATTTTGAAATGCTTTCCACAGGTCCAGTACACTTGTACAATCAGTACATTTAGCTACGTAGCTGGAATTACCTACGTAGCTTTATAATAAATAAAACTACTTCGAGAAGCTAAATAAAGTTTATTTAGCTTCTCGAAGTAGCTTTATTTAGGTACTAAATTATACTTACTTATTTCCTAAATGATCACTTTTTCAGCACGTGCAAAAAATCGCACTTTGATACAGTAATAATTTTCAACTTTGAACTGATCTGAAAACAATTCATGAAAAATCAATTTTTAAGATGTGTTGATCTCGATTAGAGCAATTGCAATCAAAGTTCTATAAGTTTTGGGGCTATATAAGGCCATACAAAGAAATATGTTTGTTTACTGTTACATGCTGAAATATTGCCAAACCCCCTTACTTCGTCACTCCCCTAATTCCATCACTTTCGAGAAACTGCACTGTTTGTAAACGAATGTGATTGTGACGTCATTTTTTACATGATTCTGTTCTTGTTGTGCCTGCATTTATAAATGCAGTAAATTAATACTTGTTATTTTTTTAATATTGGTAGGTTATTTTATTCTATAAGCATACATGTTAACTCTACAGCTTTAGGCGGAAGTCTACGGTACCGCTTTTTTACTCCATCTCCCGCCTACCTGACTTTTATTTGTAAAAATACTGTATTTCTAAAAAAATCATTTTTGATTCACTTGGGTAGCCAATTTCATAAAATCTCATTAGATATCACATGATTTGACCTGGGAGCATACATTGGCGAACACTTTAGCTCACTTTGGCAAAAGGCTCAAGTGGGCTTTTCTGATCACATTTTGTCCAGCATCCATCTGTCTGTCTAGCTGTCTGTAAACTTTTCATTCACATTTTCGACTTCTTCTCAAGAACCAAGAACCACTGGGCCAATTTCAACCAAACTTGCCACAAAGTATCCTTGGGTGAAGAGATTCTAGTTTGTTCAAATGAAGGGTCATGTCCTCTTCCAAGGGGAGATAATTACAAATTAGTGAAAAATTTAATTAATAGCATCTTTTAAAAATCTTCTTCTCAATAACCACTGGGCCTGGAAAGATGAAACTCACAAGGAATCATCTTAAGGTAGTGTAGATTCAATTTTTTTCAAATCATGACCCCCGGGGTTAGGGTTGGGCCACAATGGACGATCAAAGTTTTACATAGTAATACATAGGAAAATTTTTTTCAAGAACAGTCAGCAAAGCCACGATTGATCATATTTATATGGAAACATCCTCAGGTAGTGTAGAGTTTGTTCAAATCATGACCCCTGGGGGTAGGGTGGGGTCACAATGGACAATCAAACTTTTACATAGAAGTACATGTATGTAGGAAAAATCTCAAGAACAGCAAAGCTATGATTGGTTATTATCTATTTGGAAGTATCCTCAGGTAGTCACCGTAGTGTTCAAGGTTCAAGTTTGTTCAAATCATGATCCCTAGGAGTAGGATGGGCCACAATTGACAATCAAAGTTTTACATAGGAGTATATAGGATAAATCTTCGTCTCAAGAATAGCAAAGCCATGATTGGTTATTCTCCATTTGGAGGTATCGTCAAATATTGTAGATTCAAGTTTGTTCAAAACGTGACCCCCGGAGAGGGTGGGGCCACAATGGATGAGCAAAGTTATACATAGGAATACATTGAATTTTTTTTTTTTTTAAAATCTTCTTCTCAAGAACAGCAAGGCCATGATTGGTCATGTTTATATGGAAGTATACTCAGATAGTGTAGATTCAGATTTGAACAAATCATGACCCCCAGGGGTAGGGTGGGGCCACAATGAAAGTTTAAACTGATAGGAAAAAAGCCACAGTCAAAAAAATATTTAAGCAATTTCTTAGTGTAGATTCAAATTTGTTCAAATCATAACCCCCTCCCCCTTTTAGGGGTAGGTTGGGACCACTTTCAGCTTTTCAATGCTGAACTGATTTTTGCCTTTTTCTAGCCACATAGCTTTGGTAAGTGATGTGGCCCACAGGCCTCTTGTTTTTTGTGATTGTACATATGTTTACGAAGATATCAAGCACGTGTTTGACAATGAAAAGTGCAAAAATCTGTGTGATTACATTGGTAACAATAATTTTCGTTGACATCCATGCCAAGAAAAGGAAGATATAGTATTTTAGAAGTGGATGAAAACTTTTGACATTGTCCATGAAAGTGAAATACGGAATCAGCATTCATTTCATACCACTTTCATTTTTGGTCATCGTGGGAAAGCCAATTTTTTAACGAAAAATTGGAACTAGATTTAGATTTGAATCAAACAATGTCATTATTTGCTGTATTTGACAACTAATTGAACATTCAGAATTATTGCTTCCAGGCTATATCAACAAAGATTGACACCCTTCAAAAGGCTAAATTAAGCAGCCAATCAAAGCCAAAGTGATGAGCATGAAAAGAAATTATAATTATATCTGTATAATTTGTGTCAAACTTAAGGTGTTTTTTGTCATTGCAGCTGATACATGTATTTGAGTTTAATTATTGTAGTGGTGATTTTAGGCCACATTTATATACATAAATTCTTCTTAAGTCAATACATAAAACAACACACACAATTCTACCTCTTTTGTGGTCTGAATCTCCCTCTTTTTCATCACAGTAGGTTAACATGTATGCTATTAGATACATTCTATAAGATACATGATAAAGGTACAGATTGTTCTGTACTATACATAACATCAGATTTTCTTTTAAATAGTAACTTTAATCAGTGATTTCAACTGACTTGTAAAAATTAGTGATTTTTTTTTACCCAGAAGACCTACAGAAATGGTTAAAACTTGCTTGCAGAATTTTTACTATAAACATGGAATCATGTGCATAACTTTGCAAATGAAAATTCTTTGACCAATTTTAGGTTTGAAACCAAAGGTAGCTTTTGAGAAGATCGGTACAGTGCTTCGTAGAATGTATCCTGGACACATTCTACCAGAGGAGGACATGCAGTGGATTTTTATGAATGCTGGGGGTTGGATGGGCAGCATGTGCCTGCTGCATGCTTCTTTGACTGAGTATATCTTGTTTTTTGGTACAGCAATGGAAACATCAGGTCACTCAGGTAGGTGTGAGCAATTACTGAGTCAGATAGAGAGCATGTATAACAATAACAATGAATTTACCCTCATAAACTGACATAAAGTGCAGTGTAGAGACAAAAAGTTAAATAGATGTATTGACTTTAGTTCACACTTAAAGGGCAATGTATTAGTTTGACCTATAATCAGTCAGGTTAAAAACAACTGAAAAAAGAGGAGTCATGGACCTCAGGTCACTACGATTGCTTTAAGGGCAAGATATTATGACCTCTAAATAATATCTTATGTCACTACAGAGAGTTTTTGGACAAATAAACACTACCTTTTAATCATGAATATTATGAATGTCCTAAATAACTGTTAGAGTATTAAAGAAATGTGGAAGTTGGGGCTTTAAGGACTGTGGACATCGGCCTGGATAGCTCAGTGGTTAGAGCACCTGACTAGTAATGCAGTTGTCAGGTCCAGCCTTATATTTTCTTCATGCATTTTGCCTTTCCTACTACATTTTGTGGCCAGTAGGGGGACCATGTTCAGGTTACATTATGTGTGAATCAGTAATTCTTGGGAGGGCCCTAGAACTTGTGTCTTTGAGGTCGAAGACTGTTTAAGGAGGGAGGAATGTGTGAAAATGCTAAAAATATCTATTTCAGAAGTCATAGTCCTACTGTATATTATGATCATCATTTAATTTTACAATACAATGCATCTATGATTCTATCTATTGAAAGTTAATAGGAAATGCTGTCATTAATTCAAAATAAATCCTACATGTACATGATTATGATAAACTGAGTAAATTGAAAATGTTTTCAGATTCATTCTACTTTTTTAAATCAAAATAAAAAGCTACTTACACAAGGTTAAGGAATGGTAACCAAAGTTTTTTAGAGTTATCTTTCTTTATACATGTATTTTCAAAACTTTCTCTTATTTATTTATTTATTTTTTTTTAATCATATATTTCTTTTGATTAAAGTTGACTTTATTTTTAAGTTTTAATATAAGATAAAATACTGTTTAAGGCTAATTTTGAAAAATGTTTCTCTGTTAGATAATGTTATATATAATACAGAGTCATATAATGATAATGTGAAATACGTTCAGGCCAACTTTAAAATAATGTTTGTTCGCCCTCTCCCGACTCAGGATGAAAATTTTGGGTCGGTAGGTAGGTATGAATTTAATTTTTTTATAGAAAAATTCATATCAATGCTGAATTTCAAAAATCTGTTTTCAGGAAAGCATAAAAAAATTGTTTCATGGAGGTTAAAAAAAGTTTTGAGTTGGGCCATTTGTAGCCAGTCTGTCGGGAGAGGGCAACCAAACGATTTTTTAAAAATGGCCCCACTTTAAAAAAAAAAAGACAAAAAAATATTGGAAAAAAATATCAGTTCAAATTATCTAGTTAGTTAAAAAAGACTTCTACAAAGTTTTTGGATCACATCTTTATATTGATTGTTTGTTAAAGGTGTAACTCTTTTTTTTTCAGGTCGATACTGGGCAAACATCTCTGACACTCTGATATCGGGGTCAATGAAACAGTGGAGGGAGGGGGAGTTGGAGGCTCACATCTACAACGCTGGTTAGTATTAGTACATACATTCATATCTGTAAATAATAATAACTAAAAAAAAAAAAAAAGGAGTGCAATTGTTACAATCTGATTAAAATCAGATCTTTGTTACGGTCCGAAATTCTGATGGTCGCTGTACACAGTGTACAGCTCCGAAATTCTGATGGTTGCTGTACAAAGTGTACAGCAACCATCAGAATTCGGAGCGTAACAAAGATCTGATTTTAATCAGATTGGCAATTAATTTGCTACGGAAAATTTTTGTAAATGCATGTATTCATTTTAACAATTTTTTGTAAATGCATTTATAAGTTTCAAATATACATGAAAACATCTGTGAAATGTGATTGGAAAAGAAGGTTACATGTGATTGTATAAGGAAGGGGGAAAGAAATTGAGTTTTAGTACTTAAAAAAAATCTTCACCAAAAGACATTGGAAATTTCCCTAACATAGTAAACATGTCATTTGATTTAGCTCTGATTCAATATTTAGAATATATAATATACCAAGCAGATATACAATGTATATATTGTCCACATTGATAATTTTAGGTGACACTGTGCCCCACCCAATGGGAAATGTAACAGGAGTTTTCTTCAATGCTGACACCTGGATGGTAGAGTATGGCAGGGGATTTATACCATCAACACTCACATTTGCCCTTGCAGACACTTTCTTCAGCACCACAGATTTTGTGACATTGTTTTACATTTTAAGAGTGTATGCCAAAGCATTATTTTTAGAAATGAATGCCTCTATGGATGAATGGAGAGAATATGTTAAAGATAATTTGTAATAGGAGTGTGGACTTTATCTGCCTTTACTGGGACCAAATTTTAAACATTCTGTACCTTTTTTGACCTGTTCGCTTGTTTAACAAAAAAAAAAAAAATCAAAAAAAAATCTGCCTTTGAAGTAACAAACTCAGGTATACAGGTGAGACAAAATACATATAAATAGTCATCCATTTGACAAAAAAGTGGGTTAACCCTTAAAGATGAATGGAACAGACACTTTTATTAAGATTTTAATATTACTGTCCATCACAGTAATTAATATTTATACTTTGTTGTTTGTGCATTCAGCTTTTATTGCTTATTATTTGACATTCCAGGATGTGCTTTTTGTTCAATCATTTTATTGACTCAGAGACAGTTTTTAAGATCAGGGTAATACTGACACATTCACTGGGGTTTTTGCTGCATTCTTGGGATTTTGGAAGTACATTGTACATCATAGACTGATAGAGTAAATCTAATTATACCCGCGTTCCGGAGGAGAGGGGTGTATACTGTTTTACCCTTGTGTGTCTGTCTTTCTGTCTAGCTGTCTGTGTGTCAGTGTATCTGTGTGTGCATGTGTCTGTCCGTAACAAATTTTCGTCACAGTTTTCTCAGCAATTATGCATCACAGATGATTGAAATTTTAGCACACCCTTTGTTCTGGCATGCCATATGGTGGGATTCATTTTTTTGCGAATCCAAGGTCAGCTTCCTGTTTATCCGTGCGTCTGTCCATACCATACATAACAAATTTTGGTCGCAGTTTTCTCAGCAATTATTCATTGCAGATGCTTGAAATTCTAGCACGCTCTTTGTTTAGGCATGCCATATGGTAGGATTCATTTTGTACGAATCTGATGTCAACTTCCTGTTTATCCGTGCATCTGTCTGTACCATACATAACAAATTTTGGTCACAGTTTTCTCAGCATCTTCTTATCGCAGATGCTTGAGAGTTAAGCAAACTCTTTGTTTATGCATGTCATATGGAGGAATTTATTTTTGTACGAATCTGATGTCAACTACCATAAATGAACTTGTGTATTTACATCAGAGCGGGGGTATTATTAGTGAGAATTGGCTCACAGACTTCTTGTTCATTACATGTTCAGGTTTGATGATAATTATTTCAATACCTGTTCAGCTGCAGATATGTTTGATGTAACTGTCAAATACTCATTTAATAGTTTGTTTTCAGTGATAATTATTAATCATTGTAGATTTATTTCGCAGAGAGAGAGAGAGAGAGAGACGTGTATCACAGCAAAAGAGATTGCAAGGTTTTGTTTGATATATATATATATATATATATATATATATATATATATATATATATATATATATATATATATATAAAGATTTTTTCCAGATAAAAGACACTGTAAGTGTGCTAAATATGCGAAGTTTTGGTGTTTACATGAATTTGTCATTCCCCGAATGAATAGTCTGATGCATGGTGTGTTGAAAGTGAATTAATGTGTGGAAGGACCTTTTTAAGCATGTTTTTGTACTCTGTTTCTTTCTTTGCAATATTTCCAAGTAAAAAAGAATTACATGAAGACACTGACTGCTTCTTATTGTGACAAAGTACGAGGGGTGATCAAAAAGTTCGCGAACTATCTCTATATTTGCAAAACCACAATTCAGATCAGAATTAAATTTGGCACACATTTAGTCATACAAATATTCTATAAAAAGCAGGTGTTTTATAATGTTTTGCTCCTTGTTTGTGACGTCACAATTTGAAAATGACGTCAATATAAAGGTGACGCGACAAAAAATGGTTGACTCAGTCGTACTCGAGCAACGAACGGATGTAAAGTTTAACGTATATCTTGGAAATTCCTTTGCAGTGGAATATGATAATTTGTACAAGGTTTATGATAACAAAAGACTTACCAGAAGTTTTATTATTAATTGGATTGATTGTTTTAGTAAAGGCAGGGAGATGGTTAAAAATGATGTTTGTTCTGTTGCCCAGCGAAAGCAAGCCGGGGAAAAGATGTGTCATTAGTTGAGCAATTTCTTTTGAAAGATCGCCAAGTTACAATTCGAAAAATAGCTGAATATCTTAACAATAATATGATTAATAAATCCCTAAAATTTCGTTTACTTTAGACTTTAAACATATGAGATATGATAAAAAGAGGTCGTCCATACCTTATCCACATTGGATAAAAGACGCTCCCGAGACAGAGGACTCGGGTTTTGATGATCACCATGCTAATTTTGGGAGGAGATGTCCTTATCCACCCATCCTTTTGCCGAGATTTGGCCATTTCTGACAGATGGACTGTTCTTGTTATAAAAAAATAACTTGCATGGTAAGAAATATAAGATTCGGAAAATTTTTTAGCTTCTGTGAACAGAACGCCACGGAGCATGTCACGTGACCGTCTGGATCAAGTGATTCGCGCATGGGCAGACCAATGACAGATGTGCATTATAATCGGAGAGGACTACTTCAAAAAATAATGAGCACTAAATCCTCATTTTATTTCTTTTAAGGAAGTAATTCAATTTGTTCGCGAACTTTTTGATCACCCCTCGTAATTGTTATCTTACCTACAATCATTCTTTTGCATGATGATTTATGCATCGAAGGCTTGTAAAAATGAAATAAGAACTTCACTTAGCTAGAGTCAAGAAGATGGGAATAAAAAAAATGAAAAGATCAAGTTAAGCTGCATGTATATGCCCCACGGCAAGATTTAATATATAAAAAAGTGCAACTAATACAAACCATAGAAATTCCCTATCATTAGTCATCAGTTTGATTTGTCGAACCAAAGATGCTTGAAGATCCCCACACCCTCCATCTTTCCATCCAAACTCCCAATATTTTGTATCAAGAGTTCGATAAAACGGAATCCTGATCGTTATGATGAGTCTGCAGTTACTCACAAAACAAAGAGGACTGTAGCGTACCCCGGTGTTATATAGCGAGACTTCCTCCGAAAGACTTGCTATATAATGAGATTTTTCCCGGAAGACTGCAGGCATTGCTATAGTTTTTGAAATGGAGCGACCAGAAAAAAAAATATTAAAACGGAACGTTAAATGGCAAGATTGGAAATATGCATCTCATTTCTACCTGTTACAATCAAAACATTTTGAAATGGACAGGTGAAAATTCGACACGGACGTCTGAGAAAACATCGGATTGAAATTCTAGTTCGGAATTCTTCAATCCACCTGAGTTATTTTCACGCGCAAAATATGATCCAAAACAGGCACATAGTATCGTTTTTGAAAGTGGAGGACCAGCCAGGAAAAAAAATTGACAACTAACATGTACCTGAAAAATCTTTGAAAAAAAAGGAAAAGGAAAAAGGTTGGTGGGTTGGGAAGGAGGGTATTACAACTTTCTTTCACAACCAAATTTTTCAGTATATGTACATTTAAAAATTACCATGATTTAACAATATACATCAAAAAGTGGGGGGGGGGGGGGGTCAATCAGCCTTTCAATGAACATTTTTAATAGTAAAAAGTTACGTTTAGAAAGAAGGGGCAGCCCCCCCCCCCCCCCCCGTGCTTGCAAAAGACAAATGATTTCAATTCCCAAATACTGTAATTTGAAATTAGTGTATTTCAAAGATTTTTTTGCCGAATTTTTTTAAGGACACGTAAAAGTTATAGAGAGTAAAGATATTTTTTCATGGGCCATCTGATTCCAAGGGGGGGGGGGGGGGGGCTGCATGTTCATGCCTTCACATGACAGAATATATTTATTTCTAGGATAAAAAGAGAGTTTTTTTTTACTGAAAAATTTTTGACATGTTTGACAAGTAAAAACGGGGAGGGGGTGTCCAAACTGAAAAAAAAAAACTTTCTCATTTTGAAGATCGTTTAGCCCCTCCCCTCCCCCCCCCCCCTATACACACACCAAACAGGAATCATATGTTTGTCCCATTTTTTTTTAAATTTAAAAACTATTAAATTTTAAAAAAATGGACAGAAAATTCTGATTTATACAAATGTCGAACTATATATTCCAAAACTGAAATTATACTGAAAGGAAAAAGAAACGCAGGGTAACATAATGGTAACATAATATGCGAATTTTTTTTGACCGCATAACCGAAAATTATGAAAACTTGCCAGATGAGAATCTTTTTTACTATGCAATAAAATCAGTGTTCAGAATTACTTAACCGTAATGTATGACGTCGCGTAGGGAAAGTGGTAAAAAACATATGCAAATTGATGACGACAAATTTGTCAACACATTTTGTTGTACCATTTGATGCACTTGAGGTATACACATTGTTTTTCGATATTTACAGACGATATGAATTTCTTGCAATCATGGTACAGTTTAAAAGTTCCATGGGGTCTGGCTTTTACATTGCCTAAGTAAGGAAAAGGGCAACAACTGGTTGCTGTGCAGTTTCTTGTAAATTTCCCCCAATAGATAGTCTTACCCGTCTTCAGAGAGGTCCTGAAATGGTTTCCAATCAACCGTGACAATGACGTTGACGCGTAACAGAGCCACGTCAAGATCGGGTTATTTGTCTTGCCACATACCCGTGTAATCGCAACCCTACTACCCCTAAAACTGCTTTAAATACAGTAGGATATCGTAATCATTACATTCATCCTAAAACTGAAATAATCCGATTGCGTGATTTTGTGTTTTTTGAGCTCGTTTTGGTGTTCCTCTCACTGGCGCATGCGCGCGTCGTTTGCCTTATTTTTTCGGCGTGTTTACCCCGGACCTTATGTATCCAGGGTTTGTCAAGACTTTCTCGCAAAAAATCACATTTACCTACTCGACTCCAGGCCTCCGTAAAGTCCAATTTTTTCTCATTGAACACCTTTGGGACTAAGTGGATGATAGGGTTCGAAATGCCCAAGCAGGTCTCTTTCAACTAAGGGCTGTCTTGTGGAAAGGGTTGAAAAATATCCCTGTTTGAAGAGTAAAAACACACTGATGAACTCCATGCAAAGGCGAATCAAGGTTCTGACAGATGCACACAAGTCAGACATTGAAGATAATGAGAATTTTCGATGTTTACTTCAGAGGGGTATCGTCATATGAGTTTCAATAACTCATGAATTATAAGACAAAATTAAATAAGATTTTTGTTACATTTTCACGAAAGATGATTTTAAATGTTAGGTAGGAATACTGGACAATACATATATAAAAATAAAATTATTTCACGTCGAAAGTTTACCTTGCATTTATTTTTCTTTTTAGTACTTGTCTTCTGGATCAGTCGGTAATACTGTGCTTACGAGCGTAGCTGAGGTAGATTGGAAATGAATTCCAATCTAGAATTTCAGCCCAATGTTTTCTCAATTGTCCGCGCCGAATTGTACCCGCCCATTTCATTGCTTTGACTGTAACAGATGGAAATGTTTTATTTTGCCAGTAAATGTTCCGCCGTAGTATTTGAAAACTTAACCTGAAAAAAAATCCTTGACAAGCATAAAGAAGCCCATGGGACACATCGCTCACCTGAGGACTCTGGCTAGAAAAAAGCAGAAACCAGTTCAGTATTGATAAATGGTCCCCCTAGAACCCCCCTCCCCGACAGGGGCAGGGGAGGGTGCATGATTTGAACGAAAAAAAAACTTGAATCTGATTCTTCCAAATGTTTACATATATATATGACTAATCATGGCTTTTAAAGATTTTTTTTCCCTATATGTATTTCTGTGTAAAAGTTTGATCTGTTGTGGCCCCATCCTACCCCCGGGGTCATAATATTAACAAGCTTGAATCTAAACTTATAATTACTGAGGATGTTTCCATATCAATATGACTAATCATGACTTTGCTGCTCTTGAGGAGATTTAAAAAAAAAAGAAGAAGATTTTTCCTATATATTCCTATGTACAACTTTGATTACCTATTGTGTCCCCACCCTAACCCCCCCCCCCCCATTATTTGTACATTACAGGAGAATGTTTCCAATCTATAAATATGTTTTATCCTGTGTATAACTTTGATCCCATGTTGTGGCCCTGCCCTATGCCCGGTGTCATGATCTGGACAAACTTGAATCTACACTGTGTAATGAAGCTTTCATATAGTTTTCATTTATTCTGGCCCAGTGCTTCTTCAGAAGTTTTTTTTAAAGATTCCATTAGATTCACACTAATTCTTAATTATCTTCCCTTGAAAGAGAGTGTGGCCCTTCATATAAACAAACTTGAATCCCTTTTACACAAGGATGTCTTTTGGCGAGTTTGGTTGAAATTGGCCCAGTGGATCTGGAGAAGAAGATGAAATTGCAAAAAGTTTACGCCGACGACAAATTTTTAAACGACGCGAAAGATGACGGAACCTTTGGCTCAGGTGAGCTAAAAAAAAGGGGGAGGGGCTCTCCAAACTCACTATGTATATACCGGTACATGTATAGGCAATTCTTCCCTCCTTTATAACGAGGCTTTCCCTCCACTTTAGTATACGGAGAAGTCCTGAAAAATTTGTATTTATTGAATGGTTTCTAATTCAAATAGTATATCTACATGTAGGCCCGTAGGAAGCAAATTCATTTTTTTTGGGGGGGGGGGGGCACAGCCATGCATTTTCAATTGACAGTTGAGGGGGCACTACCAAAAATTTCCTGATAAGCAAAATAAAAGGTCATCAGACGTTTTCATTGAGGGGGAACAAGCATATACTATCTACGTTAAGTATAGTAATCTATTTATCGGCAAAATTATTGGGGGCACGCCCCCCGTGCCCCCCCCCCCCGGTTCCTACGGCCATGATATCGTTGATATGAATAAATTTAAACCAATATGTAGTGGAAACCCCACTTTTGTTTAGCTATTTAGCTGCTCTTCCCAAAAGGAAGAAGATTCAATATATACCGGAAGTCATTCCTCTGAGAGAGAGCCTCGCAATGGGATAGTGTATGTAACATCGGCAAATCATTTCCATGTTCAAAGCTATCAAAGTCAACAAACTTGCATCAAGATTTATCTATAGATGAGTGGTTAATCCTATAATACATAATCATATAACACATAGTGGTTAATCCTATCATTAGCCGAAATTCATGTCAAAGGTCAAGGCTTAGCGCGTCTGGACAAAGGTCAAAGGCAGCAATAAAAATCGTCATCCTGAATTACTTGCGCTGGGGGTTGAAAGATGCATGCTAATCAGAATACATGTAGGTCATCATACAACAGTGAACAACTATACATGTACTTAACTACAACAATTGTTGGCATGGATGGACAGACATCCAGCTAGACATCACAAATCCATAGACCGATCAGGTTTCGTAATCCAACCAAAAATCATTAACCAGGCGGTAAGAAGATCGGGTTACAATTTCAGCATATGTGATTTAAAGTAGCTTGATTTACTCATGATTTAAAATATTTTGTAAATTTAAAGCATAAAAAGTTGTTAATTCATAAGTTCTTTCTGAACATATGCCGCGTTTTTGATGATTAATCAACACAAAAGTACTTCTACTCCAGTAATCACTATCAAATGATGTATTATCTCCCTTATGAACCGACTGACAGACAGATGGAACCAGTTATCTCCCTTTAACACACTGTTTTCTATATTATCTCGATTCAGAGAATGGATGTTATCATAATGATTGTCAAATTCACCTGCCTATAAAAACGATACACAAAATGGTATATTCAGCAGTTCGATTCGACTATTTGGCGATCGAAGGCTGACATAAATAGGTATTGTTTATTCTTTTAATTATTCATTTCTTTGGGAAATTCTTTTAAATGATTTAATTTTGCTGAACATTATCCTTTATTATAAAAAAAAAAAAAAAAAAAAGAAAGAAAAAAAAAGACCGGTTGTTCTGTTTGATCAGGTTATATGTATAAACTGTTGTTTTGAATTTTTTTTTAATAAAAAGTGCTTCTTAAAGAAATTTTTAAAACCATAATTTTCCTTTTCATAATAAAGCACCTTTCGGTTTGCTTTCCCTATATAATCAAGGGAACTCATTTTCAACCATACTAGTATTTGCGCGAATGTTTCCTTTTTTATTTGAATCAGTTACTTAAAGAGATATTCTCCTTCTTTTCAAGAAATCATAAAATGTACTTTGTGATTGAAGACCTAACCATGTTATCTTGCTTAATTCAAATCTAAAACATTTAGCACCAAGGATTATTCTCTTAGACAATATCCGAATCCGGTATAATTAATGAAATCATTGTTACTTGAAATACATGTAATAAAAAAAAATAAATATTTGAAGTATGTAAAGTTTTCTGATGTGACATATTTGTTTATTATCTTAAACATTTTATTACCGAATCGATATCATTTGATTCAAATTTGTATGTTTATTTTGGTAATTTAAAATTATTTTCACTGTTTATGTGATCAATTTCTTTCTATTATATAATTATGACGTCAACAGTTCATGTGTATTATATTTCTTGCCCACATAAAGTATTCTTTTCTTCTTTAAAAATAGTATTTTCTGTGATTATGATATTTACTGATAAGCTTTATTTTAATTTGATATAACAAATTGCATATCCTTCTTTTTGACTTAGTCTATCATGAAGCTCTTCATTCTTGTATGTGTGTTGGGACTGAGCTTGGCCGCCAATCCCAGGCTTCAGAAAATGGAGGAAATGCTGAATGATCTGACCAGACAACTGGTTAGCCAGCAGTTTTATGTCGAAGAGAGGATTCGCTCTGATGGAGACTCTGGTAATGTAGCTACACACATTTTTGAATTATTGAACTTTTCCCCTCAACTTTTTTTTGGTTAAATATTTGATCTAGTAAGATATTTTCAACAATCACCTCTGACGGTGCCCCTCTGACATCACTTGACAAGATGAATTCATTTTATAAAGGTATCAAGCAAGTAAGGCGGTTGTCTGCTGGGACTGATTCCTTTAACTCGGAAACCACCAGTGCCATTCATTCACATCCAAACTACAAAGATGTCATTGGCTTCGGAGAAGTCAACGCTGTATTGAATGGTGTTGAATTCCGAACCCGGCATAATGATTATTCCTTAGAAATGCCCAGTCTGCATAAAGCGAACTATCATTTAACAGAAAAAATTCCATACCCACAAGTCCCGCCTTCAGTCACAGCAAAACATACAGTTCCCGAGCAGATAGCGGAAATGAAAGAGTACTTCAGGGCCTTCAGACTTCAAAACTCTACAATCAGAAACTACAAACCTTACTTTAAACCAGTCTTATGTTACATGGAGGGAAACTGGGAGTGGGACACAAAACACCTTCACGAACCTTTTCATAGCGAGACTCACCACTTAGACGCCATGGACTACGACAACCTAGCTGACAAGGTCAGACTGATGTCATACACCGGTATGAATGATCTCCATGAAGATTTAGCATTTCTGCCTAAAAAAATAATGGACATAGACAGCAATGGCAAACCAAGATATGCCCAGTGGATCTACAGAATACTTTGTAACCCAATACATTCAGATGTTCCACTGAAAGTATTCAAGCCAATCGACGACGTTGCTTTCCGAGTGACAAGGAAATACAATATGTCAACTTACAGCCGTACCGAGGAAGCCAGGTTTACAGTCGCTGCATCTGCTAATCAAGCCGAGTTTGATGAACATGAGGGATACGGGAAATTTGAAGACAGAGCATATGCTAAAGGACTGTTGGACAGTTTGATGCATGGGGTTCCAGGGGCAAATAATTATCGTGGAGGTCAACACGACACTGAATTCAATCACACTGCTTTGGTAGCGGGCGAGGGACGAGACAGGCCAGAAAACACCGCTCGCTATCACCGTGAGTACAAGTTACATCATGGGATGCAAATTAACCAGAGGGGGTTCTCCGATAGCAACCTGTGGATGGCCCAAAACCATCAAAACAAAGTAGCATCGGTAATTTTAAGGTCATGTAAGACGGTCGGAACTCTGAAGACCAATTGTACATCCACGACAGAAAAATTCTCATATGCCATTCCATTGGAAATTATATATCTAAACCCTCTTCATTCCTGGAACCCATATAACCTTGACATGAAAAATGAAAGCGAGGTGACTGAAAATGGCCGTAAAGGAGATTCACATAACGCTAATCTGGCATACAAAGGCATATCTACTCTTCACTTCTATCAAACTCCGGTTGAATTTTTTGGAAATGTCCCTGGACAGGATGTTGGTGTCCTTGATCCCAAAGGAGCCATTCACCGAGTTATGGCGTCCGGAATACAAACAATTTTACCTAAAATCCCCGGTGTAGGTGAAGTGAGGCAAAGATGGCCGATCTATCCGCTCCATAGGGAAGGTGACAGCGTTGGAAAAGAAGCTGACGCTTTACTCGAAATGTTGAACCACATGTCTTCAATGTCTCCAATATTCCAAGAACCAGCTACTCAAGGCAAGCATGAGACTGTCCAACCAGATCTACATTTCAGATTAACCTCCTCTCACATGAATCCACTAGACCGGCATGATCATGAGTTTTTCGTTCCGGCGACCGATTGGGAGCAACTTCTGAAGAACGATGTTTGGGTTCATGTTTTAACGGCACCAACTGAGGGTGAAAATCAAGAAAGCCATAGTCATTCTCTACAGATTAGATTGGACAAACACACGCACAAACCGATTATACAAAAGTGTGATGATCAAAATGGAAAGTGCTGGGATGGACATACAGATTTCGAACAAGTTACCTTCCATGAATTTTAATTTTCAATAAAATAAATTTTAAGAAATTATAGCTTTATTTTCTGTCTTTTTCTGCAGTGATGAAGACATCACTAAAATTTATTGGATTTTCTTCAGAATACTCTTAGATGTACTGGGCATAGATAAATCCAGGAGGATAAAGTACAGGGACCTTTCTTGTTTATATATATATAGTAATCATCCTATCATGGTCTTGTTGGATGAAAGCTTTATATGCTTTCCTGTGATGACTTTTTGAGGTAGATGTAGTTGAAAGTAGCATTGATGCTTGTTATGCTGGAGGAGGTAGTGTTCGTGCAACCCTCACCATCTCAGTCTTTTGTTGAAACATCAACGTATAGTATAGATTAAAAGTCCTTTTAGAACCTCATTGGAGTGACTATCGATAATACTTAAATAATTATAGTTCATGATCAAACGCCGGTATTTGGACCCATTTTAAAGTGATAATAGTCTTGAAAGATTTACGAAACTGATGGATTTCATTTTTTAGAGAAACTTGATAATATACCTTTTAAAATAAATTTCGCAAGCTTGCCCATCAACAGCATTAACGTACATTATGCACTAACAATCCGAATTGGCATATTGTGCTCATGCTGTGTTTTTTATCAGCTGCAGCAAGATGCAGTATATTTAAAAAAAGATGAACATTTATTTCAATAGAGAGAAAACTTTTGAGATCTTTTTTAGATTTACGAACTTTCCTCGTCCTGTAGTACATAGTATCACATCGTGTGTCCTTTCGGGTTAAGCTACAAGCATGTACTAGGTGGGTACATGTACTACCGGTATAATAGCGAAACGAGGATCACTGGGACAGATGTACTGACACTTGCGCATTCTACTAGTATCAGTTTATCTTTCAACGATAAAACTAGATAAAAGGGGAATCAAGAACAATGCAGGTGATGGACCCTTTATGACAGACATCTAAGGAAATGAAGGACAATAATTATTCAATAATAATTTATGAAAATTTTTCACGTATGCGAAGTAGTACTGAGATGGCCGAGTTCTTCAATATCCCAAAATTTTATTGAATTATGCAGTTTCAAATCCCATTTTCAAATCCTCTGCAGTTAATAGCAGTTAAGAGGCAACAAAAGGTTAACACACACACACACAAAAAAAAAAAAAAAAAAAAAAAAAAAAAAAAAAAAAAAAAAATCACAGTTTTTTTTTAACCGGTGACAGTTTGAACATCAACATTTCTTCGGAGTTTATGTAACGTTTATCCAGAAGGTTTATCTAAGTGACCTATGCGCTCTGTGTGTCAAACATGCTTTTAAGCCAACCTACCCTGCTGAAATGAATTTTAATCATATGACCAATTCAGGGGTCATATTCTAGGCCGGTTGATGAATATATTTTAATACATTATGGAATTTTTAATACTGAAATGAAGAGATGAATAGAAACCATTATGTGGAGTTTTTGCTCGCTGGAATAGCAGGATGTGGGGCGTGTCTATTCACCAACCCCCTGGAGGTGGTGAAAATCCGCATGCAGTTACAGGGGGAACTTAAGGCGAGGGGACAGACTACTATTGTGTATAGGTAAGGTTAATCTTATCTACACACCTGTACTCCTATCGAAATATTATCAGGGAAAGAAAAGGACGAAAAGCGACAGTAACTTGAAGACGCAGGGATATAGTCTCAGCATGGACTAGGTGACTGGTATAAATAAATCTTCACTGATTATATTTCGAATTCACAACGATCGGTAATAAAATGCTGTCAAGTCGCTCTAAAATAAGAAAACCTAATTTTTGATTGTATATCTGATAATAGATAATAAGAAATTCAAGACTTTTAATACTCAATAAAAAAGAAATATGAATTTGTACAAATGTATACAAATGCTTTCTATAGCTTATATTTCTGTATATGTACATAACGTAAACTTTTCATGAATTATAATAATGAAGTTGAAAGCATACTGTTGATAGAAATGCTTTGCATGGCCTCTATACGATTGCCAAAAACGAGGGAATCACAGGTATTCAGAAGGGACTTGTACCTGGGTTGTGGTACCAGATGACGATGAATGGCCTTAGACTGGGGACATTCCAAATCTTGACCAACGCTGGGTTCACAAACTCACCGTCAGGAGAATATTCCTTCCCAAGGAACATTGTAGCTGGTGCCGTGGCTGGGGGTATAGCAACGTGGGTCGGGAGCCCGTTTTATTTGGTGCGTTTTCTTTAAAATATTTGAGGATTCATCATTATATTTTAATTTAAGTTAACCCTAAATGGATCCCTTTGATGTATATTGTAAATATTAATGTAATTATTTTTAAGCATGGTCCTTGTTCGTCAGTTATGACCCAGGCTGAATAATAATCATTATTAAAACGTTGCTATGACGTCATGAAATTGTTCTTAAAGTCCAAAAGTTAACCTGTTGCAGTCCATCCTAAAAAAAAATACTATAGTAAACTTTAGTTTACAATAGTATCAAAGTTTTTACTATAGAAAATTTAAAAAATTATATAGTAAATCAAAGTTTTTTTTCCTATGAACATCAAATTTTTATATTTCATTTTCTCCAAGCCTTACATGCAATTTATTTTTTTTATATTAAAAGGAAACATTACTGCGTTAACATTTTAATCTTTTTTCGATATTAAGTGTTTTCAACACAGCACTGTTAATATAACAATGGTGAGAATATCCATTTCTGATAAAAATTGTGTGCGATTCTTCATAAAACTAGGTTTTTCTCATTGGCTGGACTTTCAAATTCCAAAATAAAATGATGCCATTCAATTTTAAATAAAATCCAATTTTCACTTTCCATTGTAATGGTATCAACCAATAGTGTCTGTATCAATTTCAGACTCACTTTATTTAAACATGTTTCTAGTCAAAGGAGATTCCTTCCTCCCTGACCATTGTTCATACTCTGCTAAGATGAAGGCTGTCATTAAATGAATGAAATGAAATATAGTTTTTAGTGTCTAAAGAAAAATCCTTCCTCTTTTCTTTTGTTAACTTAATAGATAACTATTGATTCTTGATTTCCTATTGAGTTATTTTTGGACTCTTCCAGGTAAAATGACCAAAAATCACACATGTGCAGATGAATTAAAAATATTTTATTATTTTGTTATTTAGGGTGGTTGGAGACATTCTTTCAAAGTTATGCTGGATATATTCAAAATTTCAATGTAGGGAATAAAAATATTTCCTAACATTTAAACATTTTTTAAAAATTCTCATGGACTTAAGCAAGATACCATAATTCTATTTACCGCTAATAAAATGAAACTTTGCCATCCTTAAGATTCATGTACCACTGCTCTCAAATCTGCAATTACCATTGCTATTTTTTTTTTTTTAATTTTTAAATTTTTAACTTTCACGTCTAAAGGTAAATAGAGATGAAACAATTCATAAGTAGTTTGTATCCGGGACATTATGTTCTTACTTCTAAATCAACCAAATGTCGCTTGCCCATAGGAGTTTCGTCCATTTTATGTTTTAGTTTCAATATTCTCAAGGTTATTTTCAATAACATGGATTACATTAGTTTAAATAATTCCACCCAAAAATTTAAGTCTTGACCTACATGTATACTGAAAGGTTTATCCTAGTTATACATGAATATAGTTTGACATAATCCTACCATGGATATGGTACATTGGAATGAGGAGTTGAAACAATGGCCAGGTTTCCTCCATGCAATTATAATCATGCCCCTCCTTCCCGCTGAGGGTGATTATACAGTTATTTGCATGTTGTTGATCCTGACATGTGTCATATTCAGGACCCAAAGCGACTTTATCATTTAACAATAACGACAAATTTATAGTTTCTTGTTGAATTCAACGACAAAGAGAACAGTCATATACTTATAACTAAGAATAAAATGCATTAAACATAGCTGTTTTTGAGGTCAAGGTTTTACACTGGGAAAGGAAGAGGACATCCAGTTGTATTTAAATGTTCATCTGAAAAAAAAAACCTGTTTTTCTTCCGTAACTGTTAAATGTTTCGTCGCTTCAGAAACAGTAACACATTGTCAGTGTCTTGTTGTTCTACCTTCAATAAGCCCTCATTTATAAAAAAAAATTAAACTGTATCATTTTTTTTCAAATCTTCTGTCAATTCACCAAAACTATGATATTTTTGTAGCTAGATTTGATTATTTTATTTACATCAAATTGCTGTTTCGTGTATATGGTTTCATGTGTAATTTTTATTCACCTCTTCGAATGACATGTTATTTTAAAAAACAATCTTTCTTAGTCTAGCTTATATTTCTTAGTCTAGCTTATATTTCAATCTTCATAGAAACATGCTCTAAATAAGACATATTGGATATGAACAAACCGACAGAAAGCTTTCTTAACAACACACAAAAACAAAACATTTCTCTTTTAAATCTTTTGTGTCTGAAGGTAAAAACTCATCTTCAATCAAAAGCTGTACAGGACATCGCCGTTGGATACCAGCACTCTCATGAGAGCATGACTCATGGATTGCTCAGTATCTACCGCAGTTCCGGTCTATTCGGAATGTGGCGAGGGGCATATGCATCTGTTATAAAAGTTATGGTCGGTTCTTCAGTTCAGCTGACGACATTTTCTTTTGTCAGGCAGTATATCATTGGTCTGAAAGTGAGTACAACAGGTAATGATTATCACATGGCAGTGATCATTCGAGATTAAATCCTGTTATATAATCGTGTTCAATGAAATAAGACCCATTTATTCTTTTTAAAATATCAATTTATTTTAACGATACATTGGCTTTAATTGCCCATTTGCAATTTGCAGTACTACGATCCCGATGATGGGCGCAATGCACTGATAGCTACCTTGGCCAGTGCCGTGATGAATACCTTGTGCATGACTCCATTTGATGTCGTGGCCACCAGAATGTACAACCAAGGTGTCTGTTCCAAAGGAAAAGGTCTAACTTATTCCGGAGTAGCTAATTGTTTTATTCAGATATTTCAGACGGAGGGTCTGTGGGGATTTTACAAGGGCTGGGGACCTCAACTGTTAAGACTTGGTCCCCAAACTATACTTAGTTTATTTTTCTGGGACAGATTACGATACATGTATAAAAAATCATTTTCCTGAGATTCTATGGAATTCCAGTTAGTATACTGTATATTCGATTCTGCACACATGAACATTGTAATCACCATAAAATACTGGAAGGTTCATTGCTTTTGTCATTTATGGCCATACTTGATGTATTCTAATATTCCATTTCCAGGAGGATAGTTTTCTTAATGTCAGAACTTATTATGTTTTGGGTCTGCTTGAGAACTGACGGATAAGCTCTCCAGAAAACAATAAATCGCTCGTTAAACTGGCATTCCTCTCAATAAACCCTGAACCCTCGATATTGCAATGTTCCTAAACCATGTTGGGGTCTTGAATATTCAGAAAATAAATCAAAAGCTGTCGTCTTCATGTTAAGTCTTATTACTCTCATGATTCTTGAAGCTCAAACCGCAACCATTAATTGATACTACATTTCAACAACAAATAAAATCCCACAAAAGAGCAATGAAACATATATATATATATATATATATATATATATATATATATATATATATATATATATATATATATATATATATATATATATATATATATATATATATACATATGTCTATCGGATGAAATATTCGAAACGAAGGTTTCCTATTACACATAGGTTTTGCCATTATTATATTCAAATCCTTTGTGATCAAACTACTGATTTAAGATATCTAGGACAATCTAAATTTAGTTAAGTACTATACAAAATATGAAAAAAAAAAATGATTGACAAGATTTTTTTTTCAGCTCAAGGTCCTGCTCCTCCTTAAAATAAATAAGAAAAGCAACAACAAGCTGCATATTGCACTGTATTTGCAATTTTTAGCAACAAAGACTTGGCAAATAAAAGCTGTAAATATTGTGATTAAGTATCAAATACTGGATGGGACTATTTACCTGACACAATGTTGTACACATTTTGACATTCATGTGAAAATTCGAACAGATGAACCGGGTTTATCTGTCCGAATTTCCTCAAGTAGAGATCTACTGTTCTGCAGCTAGTTGAAACAAGACTGTGGAACCTAAAAGTCATAGGAACGATGTGAGAAATACGCCTTGCCAAAGCTATGTCGTTTCTAACAAATTGTCTTGCCCTAATATTTTCAGTAGACTCAAAGCGTGAGAGAGTGGGTGTAAATTAAAAAAAAATATTGAAGAAACCTCAATAAGAACAGAAGTGGCAAAAATAAGACGTTCTCTAAGATACATTCACCTTAATTCTGTTTTTAAAGAAATCCTGAATGCTGTAGGAAGAGCCTTTGCTTTTATTGGAAATATTGGGTGCAGGTTGGATTTGTTTTTCACAAACATCATGTTTTATGTGCTCTAAATCAGACGTGTTTATTTTTTTCTCCAAATTATATTTAAACCTCTGTCGGACAATGAAGGCATAAATACTTTGTCATTTTATAATACATGTACATGTATGACGTATTCTGACATGTATGACGTATTCTGACCATTGTAAACATTTATTGATACATGATTTTGGATTCTTTGTATAAGTCTCAGAAATTTAAAGTTCTACCTATTCCCCTGAATTTACCGGAATTCCAACCTCTAAATTGTGCAAATTAATGCCAGGATCTGAAGTTTAAAGCAACTTTGCAAAATCTCTGTTTTAATGTATTTTAAAACTGCCCAAAACCGAAGTCTGTAATACTTCTAGACTTGTCCATCACTCTACTGTGGAAAAGGGAAGGGCCTACGTAATGCTTGGTGTCAAGGTTTCCTAATCATGCTCTCTGTCCCCGTTTTTTTTTCTTTTTTAATCAAAATATAACATTTGGTGTTATATCTTAAAATAGCAATAACTAGTTTTTGAATTTAATGAAACACTTCTGGAAGACAATGCATACAAAAGGTTGGTTATGAAATATACTCCCATTCATACTTTCTGTTGCTATATATACACTTATAAAGCACATTTGGTATCTTAAAACCAAAAGTTGATTATTGTACTCACGTAAACACCGCAAATTGTATACGTCTTGACACAAAGTAGATAACTAACTTTTAAAACCTAATTCCGCAGGATTGCGTTTAAAAGCTATTGTTCTCAATATAGGTCCAGACAATTAGATCTGCTTGAGGAAGATCATTGAAAGTTGATTTAATTCTGAGAAACCTCAATAAATCACGGCGTCTGTGTTATTGAAAAAAAGAAGAAATGCCAATGTTGTTTTCTAGACTATACAACCAGAAAAATGAGGTGTCCACAGTTTTTCTAATTGATTGGGTTGGACTTGATCTGTAAAAACCTAATGAAGAATAGTCCTTATACCATGAATAAACAACCAAGGGAGTTCTGGATAGCAATGTGTGATGTTATTGATAGGGAACTGGCGGGGGTCATTGTAGCTCACTGCCTAATCCTGAGTCTTGTGGTATTTCAATAATGTGATTATTGGACAGCGATTTTGGACTGATGTTAGAGCCTGACAATCGATGGCTCTGATTGGTTAAGATCTGAAAGCCAAATATGAGTCTTCTTGTCGATTGTCTGTAGAAGATGAACATTTGTACTTTAGTTTATCTCCGTATTATAAGTGCCATGGACCTTATCTTATTAATCAATCTCGCAGTAAACTCCATATCTCGTACATGTAGACCTGCCAATATCAAATTTAGATGCGAAGAAAACCACGCAGCTCAAATTGTTTTTTTGCGATTGTCAATTACACTCCAAACTAGAGAGAATATGCAAAATTTGATCAAGGAAAATCCGTTTATACTAATTCCACGAATGATGCTCTTTGTTGTAAGACTTTAAGTCTACATCAGAATTAATATCGCTTACTGCTGCACAGTTCTCACAGAATAAAAGAAGAGGTCCGAGACATCAAATGGGCATTTCTCGACTTTCAGCAATTGTTATTGGTATTAAATAATGGTTTTCTAGAGCAGTATCTGATTTAGTTTCCATTAGTATGCTAAGTGTCTTGCTTTGTTCCACTGTAATTGCTTCTTAACATCATTATTCAAACTTCTTCTTTCCAGTGACATTTCCTTTGTTTTAGATAAAAATTGTCGATTAAGTTAGAAGATTGTTAGGCAAGGGATATCTCCTATGACGTAAACGCTAACCCACCATACATAATTAAGACGGCCCTTCAATTAGAAAAGTTATCTATTAAGATGTTTAGTTTCTCGGGATTCTTGTTATGCATTTAAGGATATATAGATATTCTGAAATAACATCCTTTTCAGTTGCTATAATATATATTACTGACAAATGCTACATTATCTATGACCATACAGTTACCATTATTGCATTAAAAAGAACAACGCTGTTACCGATTGATATTGTAAAATCAATACGTGGTGATCATGTTGCTTGCTCCGTTTGTGTGGACCTTATACTTTTATAAATTATGAGTTTTACTACCTCCTCATGGCCCAGGTTTACATTGCAGACTGTGTTTACAATTTTATTTTTATTCATTACATTAATTAAAAATTATCTAAATACAGTTCTTGCAACTGATTTCCCTCTCAACCCTGAATTGCATTCCGTCAGACTCCAAATTTTAAGATCAAAGAAAAATAGTCGATAATTTCCGATAGAAAATAAATCATTCAGTCAAAAAATGTTACTGAATGGAAAAAAAAATTAAGGAAAAACATAAAAAAATATGTACATCTATACACATTGCTTTATCAGATTATCCTGTCTATTCTTAGTTGTTTTTCAGTGAATAATTTATCTTATTTCTAGGAATAGCCATGTTAGGTTATTACAAACCTGTAACAAGCTACTTGTAATGCGATCAACAGATCTGGAGTAATAAAGAAGAGATATCCTTCAGATCTCGAGCAGTTTCAGTCCCCGAAGTTGTTAGTGATTGATTGCTAATTTTAGTTTAAAAATGAATGTTCGCATTTTAAGTAACGGCCATGAGATGGGGAGAAAGAATTATTAAAAGAAAGGGAAATAAATCGCTTTAAATCGGAGGTGTAACATTTCCCAGGGGTTACATTTCAACACGGAGTCAATAAAACTTAACCTGAGCGATAACCTCCAAGGTCCCTTATTCAATTACGGAGTTAGTCTCCCTGACATTTCTCTTTATTAATGTCAGCAGTGTTCTCGAATATTTATGTGCCTGGTACAGAAAACTAAATTCCTAATCAGAAAGATGAATTCCATTCAATAAAGCTAAAGATGGAATTGGAAGTAGAGATGTTTGTCTGCAAACTAATTTGGTTCGTTAGTGTATTTCTCTTCTGCTTGGATTATACTTTGCATTCAAGTTAATTAAAGATTTTTATTATTTGTAGGATGTCTCATGCAGAGAACAGATATTTTATTGCCATTTCTTATATTTCGGAGTAATTTTAAATGCTCTTGAATACATGTACGTCATGGAAAGGTTTTCTTCAAGATCCGTCCATCAGTTTTAAGCAATGATCAAATGAATATGTTTTATTTCCTAATGGTAATTCCAAGCGAACTCGAGTCTTTCAAATGCAAATCACTTATTTGCTTGATGAATTATTAAATTTTATTGTATTAATCAAGGTAATTGACGAATTTTGAATAAATACCTCGGAGTATTTGAAGGACGTTAGTGAAGTTTGTGCAGGGAACTCGGAAATGGTTCCTTTTGAAACACATGCAGAAAATATAGTCGGACAAGAAGGCTTTCTCTTTCCAAACTTTAAGGAATCCGTTCATAATTGGAAAAAAAACTTGTATATACTTTTATACACACATAACATTCATCTTTTCATGGTGCATACTCATCCAGGTATTTTAAGGAAAGAGATAATTTTATCATGCTCGATTCAAGACATTTGCAACGAGGATGTCTTCTGCTCGACGAAATGAAACTTATTTATTTGATTGAATTCCTATTTTGCATATATATACATGTACATGTATCCAAAAGTTTTGTACAATAAAAACTGTAGATTTATTTACATATGAATATACAGATTTACATTTCAGAATTAAAATAAAGCATCAAAATCCCTACAATACTAAGGCCAAAGTTTTTATTTTTTTTTGGTTTACGATTTTCTGTCTCAAAACAAGAGGCCCAAGGGCCTTAACGGTCACCTGAGTATAATACAACAATTTCGAAGTTAAATACACTGATAGATGAAGCAATGTGCCCTAAAGCAAGAGAAGTAGGAAGATCAGGATCAACAAAATAATTAGTCTAGTATTCAGTATCAACTCATAAATTAAGTTCTTATCTGTCCCCCACTTAACACTATGCAGACTATTAACAA